TTGCATAAGAAAATTAAGAACATGGAGAGATAGGAGAAGATGTAACCAGTGCATGGTCCATCTCAACCCTCGATGAAGAACCATCGAGCATACTTGAACAACCAAGAAACAACCGAAGTCGTGTTCGATGGAAGCTCGAGGTAGGAATCATTTAAGATCTGCACCATATGTCATATTAAATGTGTATATCCACAAGGATATAAGCACCGGCAACAAAAGAGGAATGAATTGAGAGTACCTTGCTTTCAAGATTTTCTGTTTTAACACCATTCGTTGATTGAGCCATGAAACATTGACCAAAACTTGCTCGACTGCGCCTACAAGCACAACACACACATCACACAACACAAGAGGAAACACCAACTTAGCGGTCAACAATCCATCTCACTACAATATACGCATCAAATCCAATCCAATCAGCGCAATGAAAGATTCAAAATCCACTCACGATGTTATCGCCGTCAAACCTCTGAGAACCATTTGTAGAACCTTGTGGTGTTGTGGCTCACCATCCTCACTCCTATAACAGCGGCAACGACACCCATTAACAATTTATAACTATTTTTAGACAAAAGGGGTTGGTAGCCCCCAGATTTAGGAGTGTTGGTTTGACTAGCGATCATCTCAAACAAATAAATATTCATGGCTTCCTTACTCAACTTGTGCTAGAGTTCCAAATGGAAGTTGGTGGTCCTTACGTTGCCAGGAAGAACAAGGCGATGATGCTAGCAAGTTAAGTGCAGCTCTAGCACCCTCTGAATGAAAGAACCAACAGAGTGTAGATCACCACAGATTCTGCAGTCAACAACCTTCAGGACAGAGAAAAATTAGTTTCACATATTCTCAGATGGTCATCATCAGACCAACACAGGAGATTATACAGATAAATGCATTACAAAATACTATATAAAGAAGTAAATCGCAATATGCTTGCAAGTAATTTTTCTGTAACAGTCTTGCCCCTATTTGATTTTTATGACTAAAGATATGTAAAATGTACGACAGGAAAAATAGGGAAATCATGTTGATGGATAAATTTATAGAGTATATAACCACAATTACTAAAACCCATCCAAATAGTATTGTGTCAAGTTGATCTGAGAAGGTGGTTAAATAGACTAACATGTCTGTGTACCATTTTTCGTTTCTAATTTTAGCACAAGTCAATTCGTCATGATACAATGGACACACACACACACACACACACACACACACACACACACACACACACTGTATGCTCTACCTAGTTTCAGTCATCCAAAACTGAACCAAAACGTGACGCACACACAGTTTGCTCTAGTTTCAGCCATGGCATCTAAGACAGGAGTTTAACCAAAACGAGATGTGTACAAACTAAAATAGAGTATAACCAAAACGTACAAACTGCACTTGATGTTCAGATCTAGGGGTAAATGGGGGAGAGGAGAAGCTCACCACGTTGGTGTTGGGTGGAAGGTAAAGAGGGATGGTGGCCTGCTCCTCTGGCCACTCTACCTGCAGAGACGAGAGAGACGGGGTCAGTGAGAGAAGAGATGGCAGATGAGAGGAGATAAGATCATTTCAACGAACAGATCAAATACACGAGTGGTCACCTGGATCCAGATCCGCCCTCTTCCTCTGTCCACCGTCTCATCCCCACACCATCTCTCCTTCCTCGATCCAAATCCTAATCCAACACACACACACAAAGAGAAAATGGATTTCATTGTGGGATGCTCCTCCCATGGCCACCCCTCGGCCTGCTGGACATCATCTCAGACCCCGGCCTGGAGCGACTCTGGTTCCGTCGCGATCAGCTCGTCCACGTTGTGCACGCTCAGCGTCGACTGGAGGGAAGGGGTAGTGGCGATGGAGGGGACGCCGCGCCCGAAACCCTAGCAATGGCTGAGGGTCGGCAGCGAGCACGGGAGGCCGGATCTGGAGGGATGGGAGGAAGGAGCGGAGAAAGGGGAGGTCGTCAGTCTGCCACCTGCCGTCGGGACTCGCCGGAATCGGCCGGCGTGAGTGGCGGCGGCGGCGAGGAGTCGCGGGTCAAGAGAGGGCTCACGGGAGAGGAGGCTTGCCTGCGGAGAGAGGAGGCTCCCAATCTCTTTCTCTGTTTCTTCTTAACAAAACAATTTTTTTTTTGTTTGGTAGCTAGTCCGACGTGGACGTCGCGGGAGGGCGCACATTGCACGACTGTTAATGGGTTTTATTTATCTGTTTCTAGATATCCTCCTCCCTAATCACCTATCTAGTCATATAACAAAAAAAAAAGATGAAACTCATGGGCACTAGCACCCATGGTTTATTGATATAGAAGAAAGCATCCCTTGTGAGAAACCAGAAATTCATCCCCGACGTGGCTTGAACCCTGGTTGCTAGAGACGCCACTGCGCTCCCTTGCCACTAGGCTACAGCCTAGTTCTCATCTAGTCATATAACAATTTGACAAGATCATGCATTCTTTCTTTTGGACTAGAGATGAGTGCATACTCTCGAGCTCAATACCTAGTCACCTTGGGACAATGTCTATTTCCAAGAGAATCAGGTGGTCCGAGTATTAAAACTTGCACATCTGCCAAAAAATTGTCAATTTTTGCACTTAAATTCCTCTACTCACTAGCCTGCCATGGAAAATATGGTTGCTCCACTCATCAGTTATCTATTCCTCCGCAGAATAACCATACTACCTCTCATCGTTCATGTTCAAAGAGCTGCAACAACTTCTCCTCGCGATCGATTGTAGAGTCGACTATCATGCAACACCTTAATATGGCGGGATCATTGGGTGGCTCTTGAACCATTGTTTACCCTACCACATTCTCCCACCATACCAACCAAATTCCTTTCTTTCTACAATTATGCAAGATCAGATGGATATAGGTTAACTGACATGGCTGGCATCGGGTGAAAGAGCATCTAGTGCCCCCTAGTGGGTTTTAATGATTAGTGACAAACAATTAAGGGACTAATGTGTTTATTGGTTATAAATAGGTGCATAGTCCTAGAGGATATTGGTTTAACTAAAGGGTGTCGACCCCTAAAAATATTGAAGACATTGAAGACTTGGTTTGTTGTGACAAGACTTAGTGGAGCTTTTTGTTCCTGGTTCTTCTTTAACTTATTCTTGACTATAGGGAAAATCATCCTATTAAGAGGGATTGTATATCATGGATAGACGGTGAAACTTCTTTAAAATCCTTTGAATTCTCTTCGAGATGAAACATCAACGTTTGGTGACCTCTGTTGAATACGTCCAAGTATTCAGCGTGGTTGAGTACTCCTGATCGTAGTTTTCCAAGTGAAACGTGTGTCACTATTCTTAGATTCTTTATTGTGAGTAAGGGAACTCGGTCCTTGAAGTTTCCATAGGTACTAGGTTCATTAAGAGTGAAATAGTTTTCCATGACAATTATGTTTCAATTTGTTAGCATCCGAATTGTGGATCAGCCACAAACCAATTTATAACGGTTCAGATATCATCACATGATCTACCATGAGTAATTCTTTGAGTTTGGAGCAACTTGCTCAAGAAGAACTAGGTGAAGCCTAAGTGACATTGGTGCATGGTGCTCAACCTCTCCAGACAAAGACGACTTGAACTTAAGAAACCACAACAGATGTCTTCTCTGCAATCCTTTACTTATTCAAGTATCACTTGTTCTTGCTATGTTCATGCTAGTTTATACTTGTTCATGTGAGTTCATACTTGTTCCTCTCTTTTGATTTTGTCTTTACTCTTGTTCTTGTCTAGCTCTGCTTCTGTTTCTTTAGTTATATTCTCCGAACTGGTTCTAGTTCTTCTTATATGTCGTTTACTCTATTTTTTTGCTGGAAATTTTACAATGTCCTATTCACCCCCCTCCTCTATAGTCAATAAATCTTGGTCGTTCACTGAAGTTGTTCCACTTCATTCTTTGTTGCAGGATCTTGATATGTTGGGTGGCCAGGACAAGCTCTTCCTCATCGATGAAGTATGGTTCTCAAATTGAGGTGCACACCACTACTTCACCTACCAGGTCAATAACACCTCGGTTGCGCCAATGTTGTCCTCTAGCCTGGCTGCGGTTGCATGATCATCTCAACACGAAGCTGAACTTCCTATCATAACTTGTTCTAGACTAACCTGACTCGCTATGGTGCCCCCATCCATTTGGATATTGTTTCCACCTCTTCTTTGGCTGCTGCCACGTCCATGAGGTCCGGGATCAGCTCTGCATCCTTGCGGTTGGGCAACCGATTAACAACCTTATCTTCAAATCATGTTCTTGCAACCTCCCCAAGAGGTTTCAGCGCGTTTGACACCCTTTGATTGTCGCAATCCCGTGAATATTTGTTTGTTATTCTTGGAATGCACAAGTGTTCCATGACATCGACCAACTGACAAATGCAACCCTAATCAACATCATTAGTGGTCTCATGATATGGTTTGTTTTGTGCAAATTGTCAGGCCTTAGAGTAGCCATCGACTCGAGGTTTAAGTACATCCGGGTACGATTACGCTCACCATTGTTCTCCTTATGCTCCTATTTTGAATGGAATTCAGATGTGGATTCTCTTCCGCGGTGATCGACTCGAAAAAAATGTCGTTATGCATCTTGAGTTCGATCCGTTGACCTCTCAGATGTAGATGCATTGCATCACAAACGTCACCTCCAATAAACATTGTTGTGGATTGATGCTCTAACACTTCGCTTCCACAGCTGCACTTTGGATCACAGATGCATGCTGCTCTTGTCAATTTGTTATGGAATTGAAGATTGAGGTTTAATCACTCACAGGAGAAGGAATCGATTAAGCAAGTACACTGCAATGGACAGCGCGTAAAGTAACAACGCAGTACAGACAAGTAGACTACAGGAGTGACGGAATGTACCAAGCTATCTTTCTTTCTTTTTTGAGAATCACCAAGCTATCTGGAGCGTGTGCATCTCACGACCCTGATGAATATGTCAAATTTTTATTCAAGTTTGACGTACTTATTTAGTTATACATATCCTGATGAATATGGGAAGTTTTCAGAAGGCAACTCCTGCGCCGTCGGCGGCCGTGGGCTTGTATGCGGATTCATGAGCGGCCCTGTCCGACGGCGGCATGTCGCCGAACACCATCCCCGCGAAGCCTCCGCCGAGCAGCCCCGCGCCGAGCCCCATCGCGAAGCTGTCGTTCCTTACGTAATGATTTTTCTGCGCTGGCGACGCAGCGGCCGCGCCACAGCCGGCGGCTGGCTTGGGCGCCGGCGGCATGCGAGCACACGCCTGAGGGTAGCGCGGCACCGCCGCCTCCGGCGCGTAGACGTACGTCGGAGGACAATACTGCCACGGCGGCAGCTCGTACCCCACCACGGCGGCGTTGTCCCAGCACAACCCTTCGCCCTGGGCCAGCGGCACCATCACGGGGCCGAAGCGGTACGCCACGGTGAGCATGCCCCGGTGCTCGGTGCAGTGCACCTTCCGGACCGGGTACGACGCGCACCGCGGCGGGCCGCCCACGCAGGCGCAGGCCAGAAGGTCCGCGACAGGGATGAACACCTCGCCGACGTCGCGGTCATCCAAGCCGAAGAGGCGCTCGGTGCGGAGGAGCACGTGGAGGTAGGCGCCCGCGGCGGCGGCCTTGGCGGCCGTGGGCGGGACGGTGAACAGGAACGTTTCGTCCCACGACGGGTGCCTGGCGCCGTCGCGGTCGGTCTGGCTGCACCGCCGCGTCCCAGGGTCGCCGAAGACGGACGTGATGGCGTACACCTCCATACGGCTGAACACGTTGACATCTTTCAGGTTGTGACCCGACACCAGCGTCAGCTCCAGCACCCTGTGCGCCATTGCTAACCACCCCAGCACTGTTGGAGAATGGGAAACTACGTGGCTAGCAGTTGCGGGCTTTACTGTACGGGCTTGTTGCGGCCATGGCGCGCAGGGGTATGTATAGGGGTCGTGCTGGGCCCACTGCCAGCGACGTACGAGTCGATCGGCTGCTCCAAGTTTGGCGCGCGGGCTACACGCCTGCATGGATGTGCACGCATCCGATGCCAAGGGAAATTTCAACAGAAAGAATGTGCGCAACAGATAGCTTGTACAAATTTCTAAATTTTAAACCCTAAAGATCTCAACATCTTCTAGAACACCTACGGTACTTGAATCAGTGAATTGTATAATTAAGACTGTTATAGTTTGCTTCTGATGAAAGATTGTTCTACTTTTTTCCACTGATGCGACATATAATTTCCCAAACTACTGGAAGAGTGGAAGGTGCATCATCTTTTCCACTAGATGGAATAGAATTCACAATCATAACTGTGGACCAGCTGCATGCCCAATTGCCCATGAAGAAATGACAGAAAGAACTTACAAATAAATATTCTTATTTAGGTAATAACTAGTAGGTAACAAAGTTAATTGATTAACCTTGTGAATTTAAACGCTGGATAAAAACATTAAATTGAAGGACAGAGAAAAAAAAGAGCACCTAACAAAAAAATCATTTCTCAAATTGAACTTACAAATGATAAAGAAACAAAAAAAACTCATACTCCTCATGCCAAAAACAAGGTTCTCATGCCAAAAACAAGGTAATATATTTTTTAGAATTGTTATATAACAATACATTCAAATCGAATGTTGAATAATCAAACTCAAAGACACCGATCGAGCTTTTTTTTAGAATCTAATCTCACAAAGCTTTATTACTTTGTACGTCACGATATTTACAGGGACGAATACAAGATCAGCGGGATATCCAAACTAGACATGACGCCCATACCCTAACGACAAAGAAAACTTTGCGAGATTATGAGCCTCCATATTGGAGGTTCTATGCTCATGACTAAAAACACATGAAGAAAAATTACTAGATCTAGCTACTATTTCTTGAACTATAGCACCGAAACTTGCCGAGCTTCCCTCCTTATTTGCATCAATGGCCACCTTGCAATCAGATGCAACAAAAATTTGGTTTATGCATAGATCTTCTGATAGGGCCTGCGCCTCCCTGACAGCTAGAGTTTCAAGTACTTGAGGATCATTGATGTTCCTAATTACAACTGCTGATGCTCCCAAGAAAGCACATGTTCCATCCCTACAGATTGCACCAATAGCACCGAACAAGCCATTGCGAGACACCGCTGCATCAATGTTAGCTTTGACATGATCTTCGGGCAAAGGCAACCGGTGCCTCGGCCTCGATATTCAGGCGTTATTGCATGTGTGCTTGTAGTTTTGTTCTGTATGAACTCGATGTCCTCCATGTAAGAGGCGAGCTGGGAGCCTGGGATCGGCTCGTGGCACCCTTAAGCCCAAAACGCTCGCTTGGCTTGGATCCAATTCAATTTTTTTACTGCATCCACTTAAATTCAGTGAGGCCAAAATAAAAAATTGAAGATAGTTCTTGACCAAAGAACTCAGCCATGACACTTTTTTTTGGATCGGAGGGAGTATAAAAAGAAAACCATAGTAAATAGTGAATCTAAAAAACAGCCAATCTTTCATACTTAAATATCCTGCAAAATGCTTGCAAAGAGGGTTAGGAGGGTATGAATGCACCAATCATCATCATTAAATTCAGCATTATAATTAGGAATGTAACCCATTATTCTTAAATTGTTCCCACACGGTTTATGCACCAACTAATGATGAACGCATTCGGCGCAGATACATATAGTACTCTCTAGGATCTAGACAGTTGCGCGAGTGTCAACACTACAATGCTCCTGGGCAAAGTAGAGATGATTCCCGGGTGGTCAAATGTGAATATTAATTTGGAACAATAACTAAATTAATTTGGGACAATAACCAAATTAATAAAGTGTGGGATCCATAAAAAATGTACTAGAAAGTTAAAAAAGTCTGGACTTCCCACGTACCTTATGAAAATAACAGAAGACGCTAAGGTTGTTGGGCCACTATGGTTGACCCCTACATACATGGAGGCTGAAAGGCTGGGTAAGCGCTAGGCACGCGGCCAGCCTAAAATCTTTCCTAAAAGCCAGACAAACTACCTAATTGTCGCCTAAATTGATGGATTCTAACCTAGATGGATGGATTGTAGGATTTGACAAGTCTTGCCATTTTTTACCTAAATCTGGGTCATTTTTAGGTAGAAGCTAGACATGTGTGGCTTCGGCTCCGTATGCCTGATACTTGGCTAGTGCCTTGGTCAACTTATGGGCTTGGTTGGGCCTTTGCCTTGGTAGGATTCAAAAGGTTTGTTGGCACAACAATATACTAACATCTAGTACACGAATGGGTATGCATTGTTGGAAATATGAGCAATTTACCAAATGATTTTATGAACAGAAATACTAGATAAAGCATGACAAATATAGCAGAGATAAAACAAGTCGTGCTATCTCACAGAGAGAAGGTAAATAGCATTTTCATATATGAACTAGAACCAAACACATCTAGAGCAAACATATGTAGAGCAGATAGTAGAGCAAGAAACTGTGGCAGAACCTCAAACAAAAAGAGCATAAGAACATGAGGAACAACAACAAAAGTGTTGGGGCACGTAGCATGCAATTTCAAAATTTTCCTACGCTCATGCAAGATCTATCTAGGAGATGCATAACAACGAGGGGGAGAGTTTGTCTGTGTACCCTCATAGACCACAAGCGGAAGTGTTTCTCAACGCGGTTGATGTAGTCGAACTTCTTCGCGCTTCAATCGATCAAGTACCGAATGCACGACACCTCCATGTTCTGCACACGTTCAGCTCGATGAAGTCCCTCGCCTTCTTGATCCAGAAAGTTGTCGAGGTAGTAGATGAGTTTCGTCAGCATGAAGGCGTGGTGACGGTGATGGTGAAGTGATCCGCACAGGACTTCGCCTAAGCACTACGAAGATATGACCGTGGGAGTAAACGGTGGAGGGGGGCACCACACACGACTAACAATTGTCTGGGATGTGCTAGGGGGCGCCCCCACATATATATATATATATAGGTCGGAGGGAGATGGGAGAGGCCAGGAGGCGAACCAAGTAGGACCGAATTCTACTTGGGTTCCTCCTAGGCCAGCCGCCCCCTTCCTTATTTATCGAAGGAGGAAGGAAAGAGGAGGGATGAGAGAAGGAAGGGGGAGGCCGAATCCCCCCTTTTCCTTCTCCCTTGACCTCTTTCCTTCTCCTCTGGTTCGACCCATATGGGGGGTGCACCAGCCCCTGGTGGCTGGTGCATTTCCCCTCTTGGCCTATTAGGCCCATATCTTCTGTCGGGGGTGCCCGGAACCCCTTCCGGTGACCCGGTATGTACCCGATGTCAGTGTCAAAACCGGCGGATCTCGGGTAGGGGGTCCCAAACTATGCATCTAAGGTCGATGGTAACAGGATACGGGGGACACGATGTTTACCCAGGTTCGGGACCTCTCTATGGAGATAATACCCTACTTCCTGCTTGATTGATCTTGATGAATATGAGTATTACAAGAGTTGATCTACCACGAGATCGTAATGGGTAAACCCTAGAAGTCTAGCCTATATGATTATGATTGTAATTGCCTATATGGAATAAACCCTCCGGTTTATATAGGCACCGGAGGGGGCTAGGGTTGTACAATGTCGGTTACAGAGAAAAGAATCTACATATCCGAATCACCAAGCTTGCCATCCACGCAAAGGAGAGTCCCATCCGGACATGGGAAGAAGTCTTCGATCTTGTATCTTCATAGGCGAATAGTCCAACCCATGTTAATAGTCCGGACGTCCGAGGACCCCTTAATCCAGGACTCCCTCAGTAGCCCCTGAACCAAGCTTCAATGACGAGGTGTTCGGCACACAGATTTTCTTCGGCATTGCAAGGCGGGTTCCTCCTCCAAATACTCCAAAAATCATCTCCGAACAAAAATAGTGTTCGTCTCTGCAAAACAAATTCCAGACACAATCGTAGAGAGTATAATATTTTCACGAGTCCAATCCGCAGACAACTTTTCATAGCGTGACATCACGTCGCTGCCCGGTCATTATTCGAACCTTTTTTAGCCTGCCGCTCTATATTTTGAGATGCGGTTTCATTGGCACGTCTTGTCAAAATAGAGATCGTGTCCCCTTATTACGGGATCCTCATCAATACGGGAATGGGTAACCTAACCGTGCCATCTGCATGGCGGGTTCACCCTTTTTCACCCACGCCTTCTCTCTCTCTCTCTCTCTCTCTCTCTCTGCCCACCCATTCTCGAGCTCCAGCGCCCAAGTTCTCATTTTCTCCGCCCCTAGAAAGAACTCTAGCCATGTCCGGATCCAGAGCGCATGGCAAGTGGATGGCCTCCTCCGTCAAGGAGAAGGACATTGCGAAGCTCTGGGAGGCCGGGTACTTGGCCAAGGAGATCGCTCATCGGCTTCCGGCCAAGGGACAGATTGTACCCACCCCCGAGCCCCATGCAAGGGTGGTGTTCATCTCCCACTTCGTCCACGGGCTGGGATTCCCTCTCCACCCTTTGTCCGCGGACTCATGTTCTACTACGGGCTGGACTTCCACGATCTGGCCCCCAACTCCATCCTCAACATCTCGGCATTTATTGTCATGTGTGAGGCCTTCCTCCACATCCCACCTCACATCGGACTATGGTTAAAGACCTTCAATGTGAAGCCGAAGGTGGTGAGTGGTCAACAAGCTGAGTGCGGAGGTGCCATGGTGGGCAAGATGCCCAACGTCACATGGCCCGAAGGTTCCTTCGTGGAGACGGTCAAAGGGTGGCAATCAAAGTGGTTCTACGTCATAGAGCCACGCGGCACCACCTGGGCCGCGGCTCCCACATTCCGGTTCGGGGTCCCGATGTGGCTCACCTCCTGGCAAGAGAAGGGCTTGGACTGGTCTTCAGCGGACAAGCTGA